AACCTGGCGCTGGTGCTCCTCACTCTCCTGACCTTCGTCCACCCCTTCCTGGTGCACCGGGACTGCCGGCGGAGCGCAGCGGCCCCTGCGGCCACTTAGTTCAGAAGCCCCCCGTCCGGCCCTTCCCCTGCTGTCGCTCATCTTGCTTGGAGCACCCCGTGTCCGGGAAGAAGCTACCCGCCCAGGCTACTGGTATAAAGTAGCCATTGTAATCTCTTAAAAAGAAAAAAAAATGTGTGTAAGTACCAGCCGAGGCTTGATCAGCAGGAAGAGCATCTCAGTCGCCAAGCTGATTGACGTGGAGGAGACCCGGGCGAAGGCGGGGGCAGGTTCCCTCTCCTCGGTCCCAGAGCAGGGAGCCCACGGGGGAGGTGATGTGGGGCCCGGCCCCGGAGCGCGGGCGCTGGGCTCTGCTGGCCCGTGGCTTTCAGGCGAAGAGCAAGGCCGTCGTGACCTCGGCTATGCCACCTGCACCTAGAGGTGGTGCCCAGCTCGCCCACAGGCACAGCCTTGGTGAGAGGATGGCCGCCAGCCTGGGAGAAACAGCAGCCGACCAGAGAGGTGGGGGCCCTGGGCCTACGTCCCAGCTCGGCCACTCATGCTGGAGAACCTTGTGCAGACCCTTGCCTGGGCTGAGCACAGAGTCTTCCCATCTGGAGGCTCTTCCTGAGGTTCTGGAAGCTTTAAGAACAGTGACGGTCAGGCCACCAAGGAGCCTGGGGAGCCAAGGAGCCTGCTGGACCCAAGGATTTCAGGGCCTGTTTTTGCTTTCGAGAAGGGGGATGATTGTTTACTTTATTAAATAACAATTTTCTCTTGGGGGATAATTTTGAGATAAATAAAGCCATTTTGAGATAAATAAAGCGTCTCTGCCTAAGGTAGCTACTGCTCCAGCTCTCCGGGCTTTAGGGCCATGTGTGTGTGCATGTGTGTGCATGTGCATGCGTGCATGTGTGTTCCTGCCCCTTGCCCAGCCTGGGGCAGTCAGATTCCTCTACCTCTTCCCACATGGAGGTAGAGGAATCTGACTGAAGCATCCTGGTGTGGCCGCTGGACCCACAGGTGGGACAGAAGCCCTCAGGCTGGGATCCACCTGCCTGGCCCTAGGACCTGGGCTTGAGACCCCCCCTACCCCGAGGAACCTTTTCCTGAACCTCCCCTTCCCCTCCACCCCACCCCCACCTCAACACTGCACACCCCCTGCTGGGAACACTAGGTGGGGTCCGACAGTCCCTTGTGTGTCTCACTTCTGCCACACAGCAGCCGGGCAAGTCCCTGTACCATTCTGAATCACGATTTCCTAACCTGCCAAGTGCAGTTAGTCATTTCTATCTCTGAGGGCGGTGGTGAAAGTTTTAAGTAATTGCTTAGCACGTGGTGGGAGCACATGAGTGTTTGTTCCTTTATTTGCACATGGCTGGAGAGGAGAGGGTAGCAAGCAGGGAGAGGGTGAGGGACCCAGGGCGAGAGATGGCAGGTGGGTGAGACGGGAGAATCTGCAACACATTAGGTGTTACATTCCACTTAGCCAGGAGAGGGGCCTGGAGAGGGCAGCGAAGGGGGGGGCTGGCAGTCATCCATCCATCCATCCATCCATCCATCCATCCATCCATCCATCCATCCATCCAACAACCTCTTATTGAGTCCCTGCTGCCTGGTTCTTGGGAGCCCTGTTCAAAATGCCATCTCCTCTAAAAAAAATCTTTCTTTCCTTGGGCTCTCCAGCAGCTCTGAGTTCCCTGCGCTTGGTCACACCCTTTCTGGTGACAGGCATCTGGCTCCTTGAAAGACAGCCTCTCCTAACCCGGGCAGCCAGCTTCAGGCTGTGGCTCTGGGTCTCATTGGCTCAGTGACTAATGCTTGGTGCCAGTTAGGGCTTGTGGAAAACAACCGCCAGGGGAGCGGATTCTTTCTTGTTCTGGCCTCAGAGCCAACTGGAAGGAGAGAGCAGAGCACTGGGTGGTGGGGCAGAGGGAGAACGTGGAAGGGCCAGGACGACCTTTTTCATCCTAGCTCTGTCACTCGTGTGACCTTGGGTGAGCCACTTCACCTCTACATCTCAGTTTCTTTGTCGGTGGGATGGGAAAAATAGACCCGCCTCCCTGGACTGTTGTAAGGATTAGAAATTAGGTAAAGTGCCCACAGATGGTAGGTACTCAACAGGTCACAGTTTTCATTGCAGTTAATATATTAAATTCAAATAGGATGCCGGATGCCCACCAAGTGGTGAAAGGAGAAATGAAATTCGGTAGATCCGTGCCATGGAACATTCCTCAGCAATGCAAAGGAATGGAGAACTGATACAAGCCGTGACGTGGGCCGACCTTGAGAACCGCATGCCGAGCGGGAGAAGCCAGTCACGCATGACTGTGTGATTCCATTACAATACGATTCCATTTGGCCGTGAAACGTCCAGAATGGGCACATCTCCAGAGGCAGAAAGCAGAGTAGGGATTGCCGGGGCTGGGGGAGCAGGTGATGACAGCTGATGGGGAGGGGCTTCTTTCTAGGGTGGTGAAAACTTTCTAACATTGATAGTGTGTCTACAATTCTGAAATATGCTGGAAACTATTGAACCAAACACTTTAAATGGATGAATTGCGTGGTATGGGCATTATATCTCAATAGAGACGTTATATATAAAGCAAAAAGATGCCTGGATTCCTCAGGAAGGCCAGAGGACATATATCCAGAGATGCTTTCTGGGCAAGAGGAGTAAGCAGGGAGGCAGCCCACGTGCACGGCGGCCTATTTTTGTCCGCAGAGCCTGCCTCCCGTAACCTCTTCCTCAAATGGGACCAACTGCTCTTTCAAAGGAGGAAGAAGCGACCCAGGAGTTTCACAAGTTTTGATCTCACTGGGCACAGGCTCCCAGTGCAACCCTCCTCTCCCCTACCAGCCTGGGCAGAGAGAGAGAGGAGCAAATGTGTCCCCTCGCCGGCCGCCTGCCAGGCGGGGCCTTCTCTGGGCGCAGAGGACACTTCAGGAGCTGGAGAGCAACTGCCACTGAAAGGGCAGCAGAATCCTGGCCGGTGTGGCTCAGCTGGTTGAACGCCATCCCACGCACTGAAAAGTCACTGTGCATCCCGGAGGCAGTTGATCAGTGTTTTTCTCTCACATTCATGTTTCTCTCTCTCTCTTTCCTTTTCCCTTCTTCTCTGTCTAAAATCAATCAAAAAACATATATATATTTTTTTAAAAAAATAAAGGACAGCTGATAGCATGAGTGAGGGACTTTGTGTGACCATCTCTGTCATCAGCCCCAGTTTGCAGCTTGGGCTCTGCAGTTGGACTGGTCAAGACCAACTCCCAGCTCTTCTCTACGAAGGCTCTGGGATTTAGGTGCCTTGGTTTCTTCATCTGCAAAATGGGAATAACAATAGGAATCCATCATGGAGCTGTAAGGACTGAGTGAGTTCGTGGACCTAAGGCACTTCCAGTCTGACACGTGCCCCACCTGGCAGGCGGCAGGTGTTGTACCAGCTGCCATTGCTGGGGGTGTGGGGGAGCAGAGTGAGGGATGCCCACATTTCACCCCCAGTGGAATGTCATTGCCTTGGTTCTGGGCAAAACCACCCTGTGAGCATTTGCCCCAGCTTGTTTCTGTTTAACAAAGCAATACAGATTCTCTGGTACTGTTTAGAACTGGAAAACATCAAAGGCAAAATTACCCAAAGTAGCCAAAACTGGTGAAACATGCCAACCTTCATACTCGGTTTTTGTGCCACTCTTTGTTCCCCCAGCAGTCCATGCAGACAGCCCGTGAGCACTGACCTGGCGATCACCAGGGCTGGGACTGTGTGATCCGGAGCCAGGGGCCAGGTGCAGAGGGGGCTGGGCACCTCTGTTCTCACCTCTCATGCTGTCTGTCCTTCATCGAGTCTAGCCTCTCAGTGCCATGTTCCCTCACCCGAAATGGGGGTTAGAGTACCTACCTCCTGGAGTGGTGAGGATAGATGGGTCCCCACATGAAAGGACTTGCTCCCGGCACACAGTAGGTCCTTAATTGACAGCAGCTATTAATAATTATAAAAAATGCAAATTCACATTAAAGGCCAAGTGTGCTATTTAAAAGTGAACTGGTCTGCCCTAACCTGTTTGGCCCAGTGGTTAGAGCATCGGCCAGCAGACAGAAGGGTCCCTGGTTCGATTCCGGCCCTTGGTTGCAGGCTCAATCCCCGGCCCTGGTTGGGGCTCGTGCAGGAGGTAGCCAATCGATGCATCTCTCACATTGATGTTTTTGTCTCTCTCCCTCCCTCCCTTCCACTCTCTTTGAAAAGCAAAGGAAAAAATATTTCTGAGTGAGAACTAAAAAAAAAAAAGTGAACTGGTTTTACTTTCTTAGCTGGGAATGCATCTCTCCCAACCACTGGTTAACTCCCACAGTTCCTTCTGCTTCCAGCTCAGATCTCCCTTCCTTTCTGGCCTCTTACCTAGTACAGGTTTTCAAAGCACCAGTTACCTCTCCCTCATAGAGCTTGTCACAGGGGCAGTTTACATATGATTTTAAAAGAAATTATTGTCTTCCATTAGGCTGAGAACTCCATGTGCACAGCAACTGTGTCTTTTATTACCCATTGTATCCCCAGAATTTGTCACCCTATCTGGCATAGAATGGAGGCTCAAGAAGTAACGGGCATATAAGAGAGAGGGGAGAGAGAGACAGACAGAGAGGCAGAAAGGGAGGTAAGAAAGGAAGGAAGGAAGGAAGGAAGGAAGGAAGGAAGGAAGGAAGGAAGGAAGGAAGGAAGGAAGGAAGGGGGGAAGGAAGGGGGGAAGGAAAGGAGCTTCCTTAACCCTACCACCCTGAGATTTCTGGTCCCCACTCACAGGGACTTGCTTGCAGAAACTGCAGGGCAACTTGAGCCAGGAGGCCTTGCAGAAGGTTGGGTATTTTGGGGGTGTCACATTGGGGACGAGATGAAAGGATGGACGATTTGAGTGAGAATGCTGTTCCCCTATACCTGGCCAAGAGAGGATGGCCTACTGAGGAGGAAGCCCTGGGCTACCCAGCCCCTCCCCTATGGGTCCCCTCCGTCATCTCGGGAGCCTTCCTGTGGTCTGGCAGAAGCTGCCTAGGGATGCTGTGTGTGGCCAGC